CTAGAATTAGTAAGCACACAGGACAAAGTCTGCAGAAAAAGAATCAACATGGCTTCTGCATATTTTAAGTCCTGTCTCACTAACATTTTAGAGTTTCTTGAGAGTATCAAATAGACAGAGTAACAGGGTAGACACTGATTACTTTGACTTACAAAAGGCTTTTGACAAAGTCCTTCACCAAAAACTCCTGAGCAAACTTAGAAGCCTTGCAGTAAGATGGGACGTCCTCTTATAGATCAGTAACTGGTTAAAGAATAAAAAAGAGTAGGAAAACATTGTAATTTCTCCTAATGGAGGGATGTAAACAGTGGGGTCTCGCAGAGATCTGTAGGATCAGTTATTCCAATTCCTTGATCTAGATCTGGAATTATGAGTAAGCAGTAAAGTGGCCAAGTTTGTTGATGGCACCAAATTATATAGGGTGGTTAAAACTAGAAGGGATTTTGAGGCACTCCAAAGAAATCTCTTCAGACTGGGAAAATGGGCATCACAGTGACATATGTGATTCAGTGCAAGCAGGTATAAAGTGATGCAAGTGTAAAATGATTCAAAATAAATCTCAGCTTGATTATAAGTTGATGAAAACTGAGCTAGCAGTGACTGACCAGGAAGGGGTCTTGGGGTTGTGATGGAAATAACTGACCCAGCATGCAGTTGCTGTGAAAAAAAAGCAAACTCCATGCTAGACATAATTCGGAAAGGAACTGGCAATAAAGCCATCATTATGGCTTGGCTACACTTAGAAAATTGTGCTGAGTGTGGTAGGTGCACCTAAAACAGGATATTGTAGAGCTGGAAAAACTGTCAAAAAGAGCAGTTGAAACGATCAAGTGGTCCAAGCAACTCCCCTGTGAGGGAAGTTTACAAGCTGAGATTGGTAAGCTTAGAAAAATGTTGAGTTAGCACAGAAAATGTTGAGTAGACACAGAAACTTCCACAAGTTGTAATGAATGGAATCTAATTTGGATGGCTTTAAAGGGGGACTGGACGAATTCAAGAAGGTGAAGGCTACTAGTCCTGATGACTATAATGCTACCTCTAGTTGGTCATGGAACTGGAGCTATATGCTACCTCTAGCATGAAAAGAACCCATTTTGGGATTTGTGGGTTCTCCATTGTTTGTTTCATCAGCTGATCCAAAAACAAAACACAGTTCAGTGTCATCTCACATTCAGCCCATATTCAGTCCTTCAATGTGGGTTACTGTGTTGTCTGAACCCAACTTGCAGTGGCTTTCCAGAGTTTCAGTCAGGACTTTTTCCTAGCCCTACCAGACATGCCAAAATTTGAACCTGGGATCTTTTGCATACAAAGTATGTGTTCCAGCACTGAGTTGAAGAATTGCAATTTAGAAGAATTTTCCATTTCAACTATGTTCTTAAAAAAGTGATTGCAGGGATAACAATTACTGACTTACAGTGAAATTTTTGTATTCAATGTTCCATGTAGTATTCGTTTGAGATCACTTGGTGTTTCCTGGCTACATTGTAAAATTATTTTTATTTTTTTCTCTTTCCCCTGCAAGCTTTACTGTTATTAAAATAATAAGAAGGGGGGGGGGGAGAGAATAGGCGAAGGTGCTTCCAGATAGAGGACTCTTAGCATTGCCAATCAAAAGACATTGTGTAACTATTCTATCTTTTCTTCCTTACTGGACGGGAAAACATAAGAAATGTTCTAAGCATAAGATTATTACATCTGAACCCCCTTTGTTGATGTTACATGTTGCCAAGATAATTTCTAATGAAAGCATGGAAGTTTAATGATTACAAAATTCTTGGTCTCACAGTATTGCATTGAACCCTGAAACAAAATGTTACATTGTTGCACTGTAGATGGTAGTAACAACACAGTAAAAGGAGTTCCTTGAAATATACCCATGAAGAGCCAGGTTCCCAACTAATTTACTCATATACCTCACCAAGTAGCTTTGTCATTGTCACAATTTGGTCATTCTTCTGGGGAAAAAATCACATTTAAGAACACAGGAAAAGCCATGCTGGATCAGACCAAAGGTCCATCTAGTCCAGCAGTCCACACACGCAGGGGCAAACCAGCAGCCCACAGGATCCCTCAAGCAGGACGGGTGCAAGACCTTTCCAGCCAAGCTCCTCAGCAACTGGCGTGTGCAGGCAGCCACCTCTGGTGAAGGAGGCAGCACTCAGCCAGCAAGGCTAGGAGCCACTGATGGCTTCCTCCTCCATTTAAATTGTGAAGTGAAAGTTGGAAATAGGCCTCCAGTCAAAGACCAGTGTGAAATATGCAGGTGTGAGAAAGATGGCAGGCTCACCAATCCCCACCTTGGTTTCTTTGCAGTGAAATATATGCAGCAGCCTTTTCAAGAAAGGGGATGCAAATGTATTCCTGTAGAAAAAATAATTTACTTTGATGGGCACATTTATTCTCAAATTAATAACAAGTTTCCATTCAATATAGTGGAAATTGTCATGCCCCCAGTCAAATTAGATTTGGCACGGATAAAGCAGTCAGCCTGGACATTCTGATAGAGGAGGGTGATCTCTACCAAGCTGTACCAGTCTCAGTAGAGCATCTTATGATGTAATTAATAGTTGTATTGCAACTTTTTGGAGCAGTCGGAGAGGGGCTTGGCCAGTCAGATGGGGCATTCTGGAATTCTGTTCACTGGTTCCCCAGCAGATGCTGCTTGCTTCATCCAAGTATCCTATGGTTTAATCATTGTCCTCAGAATGGAACCTCCATCATTCCTGGTTTAGGCCAATACGTCCTGCATTTGCGGAGGGCTTGAGTCCATGAAAGCTTTTGCAAGAATAAATGCTTTCACCTTGAGGTGACACACGCAGCCCCTTACGGGGCCCTCCCCCAATCCATATGCTCCTGTCTGGCCGCGCCTCCTCCATTTTCTCCCTTCGGCTAGTGCTGCGTCCCTCCATTTTCTCACTCTGCCCGCACTCCCCGCTCAGTCCTGGTCCTGCCTAGGCGCTCCCGCCCCAACACCTGCACCAGCCGCATCCGGCGCTCCACCAGCATCTGCCTGCGCCGCGCTTCCCAGTGGTAGGCAGCCATTGCTCCGCCGGTCGCTCGGCCGCCGATGGGCCGGCTGCAAGGGCAGCCCCGTCGCGAGGGCCAGCCGGATCTCACAATGCAGCGACGCCGGAGGGCCCTTTCTGCGCGTGACGATCCTGGCCGCCAGGGGGCAGCAAAAAGCCGGGCGCGGTTGCTCGCTCGCTCGCTCGCGTTGTGCGGCAGAAGCAATCTAGCAATTTGTAAGAGGCAAGTCTCTTAGCAACGCCTGCTCTGTTGCAGGTGGAGGGAGGCATCACTAATAGCCGTAGTTTCTGGCCGGCACCCTTTTTGTTAGCGAAAGGGACAGTGTAGGGAAGGGTAAGGCACTTTGTACGTGCTCAGAAAGGCTTTCTGTTTTTGCTTTACCTTTTCGCTGGCACGGAAACATGCCCCATAGCTTTGGGGCAAGCTTTGCGCCCTGCCACAGTCACGCCAGGGCTGGCTCACTCAAGCTCACGGGAAGGCTATGGCGGTCATTTAATACTGAGCAGATGTGTAAGGAATTGAAGCAGGCTGGATGACACATCGCTTGACTTGGAAAAGCTGACTCGCTAATTCTAAATTTTGGACTATGGTGACTCTGCAAGAAAACATTCTGCTGCGAGCTCTAAGGCACTCTGGTCCTATGGTTTTACACCTGAGCAGGGGCTCTCTTCTACCCTAAATTCACCTATGTGGCCTGCAGGAAAGGAATTTGCTAAGGGGAGGGAAATATTCCTGATTAAATGCTCGAACTAAGGTGCATTCTGCAATGAAAGTGAGATATAACCATGCCAGTCACAAGTTATTGGATTCGGGCTGGAGAAGGAAAGAAATACGAATAAAACAATAAACAATACCCATTATTCTGTAGATGTGGTACAATACCCACATCTGAGCTGGGAATCCCTGAAAACCAGATAGAAGCAGCAATCCAAAACTAAGCGGGAGCTTTGCTTGGCCTTCCTGCTGCATTTCGAGGACTTCTTTCAAGTAGGACGTTGCTTCATTTGTTTTCGAGCCAATTTGCATGACACGGCAGCCGGTACTCTTTTGCTGGTCTCCGATCCCGCAGTCCGCAAGTGCAGTGGTTCACCACTTATGTAGGCAAAAACAGCATACTTCATTGATTTATTTATACAGCGCCCTACATGCACTTGGGGCTAAAAATGTTTAGTCAGTGACGAAAATAGTGTGATATTTGCGGCGAAATAGCATATTTGGAGCATCTGCCTCCAAATGAACTCTTCCTTAGAACATCTCACCTTTCCAATTCAGCTCAAGACAGTTAATATCAATAATAAAACACTAGAACAATAAACTCTTAAAACAACGTAACATAAAAAACAGTAAATAAAACAAAGGAGTGAAAGAACACGAGCCCATAAACAACCCAAAATATCCAGGTTTTGATGTCACTCTAAGCACGCTTTCCCTCCGCGACATTTGAACTGGTCCACTGGCTTCCACGTTTGTTTTCAGATTTAAGGAGGAAAAAGCTGAGCTCGACCATCGCCAAGAGGGCTTCTTTCCAAAAAGAAAGCGGGGGGAGTCTGCTCCAGCTTGCCCGGGGACCACAGACGTTTACCTTTAAGCCTCCTTCCATTCACGTCAGATACGGAAATCTGCTTGCAGTTCTTCCGTGACGTGAATGAATGAAAGGAACTTTGCACGCGCTTCGTTATGGCTTCCCACGGCACGAGGCTGAGGCTGAAAACTTAAGCGGAGTCCTGCACGCTTGCACTGGGGCAGGCTGTCCTGCCATCCACGGGCATCCACGACCCACGTGAGGGGGACCGTGCCCGGTCGGCGACAAGGAGCGCGTGGTGACACTCTGCGCAGGCGCCCTCACGAGCTTCTGGTTGGTTCTCCGGAGAAGCGGGCATGGCGACGCGCTCCCAACGCAGAGCGTTGATTGGCTCTGGCATCAGCGACGTCACTGAGCAGGCCTTTCGCTTTCCAGCTGCAGCGTCTAGTGCCGAGCTTGGTGTGACTGGTTGCACCGCCCGCATGATTTTTAGGAGCAAGAGGAGGGTGCCGCCGCCGCCGCCGCCAGTTTGGAACCCTGATGGAGGTAAAACTCAGGATTGTAGCCTCGACTAGGGTTTGCTAGGACTGTAGATAGGACTGATTTCCTCTTGTGCTTACCCCCTGCAACTCTTTTCAGTACTGAAGCTCGACTCTAAAAATGTGGGGACGAAACAGATAACAGGACCTCTGAATGTGTGCAGAGTGGTTTTTCCACCCTAGAGAGTCCCTGCAGAACATTCCAACTTTTAAAGGAAATCTGATTTCCCGAGCAGCGTTTTCTGCTTCTAGGCAGACTTGAGTCCCATGCCTCCCCCCCGCACCAACTTTGCAGATCAAGTATTATCTGTAAAGGGAAATTGGAGGTCCGGAGGTGTGCAGTCCTACTTGCCTGGCATTCTGTGCAGTGTCTCATGGAAACAACGCTGCTTTCCCAAACTTCTTTTCCTAGATTTTGTTGGGGTACAACTGCCGTCATCCTTACGCAGCTCTGCCAGGAATCGGGGTTTTGAGCTGTAATACAACCTCAACCCCGAGGTTGAGAAATGTTGCTACTGTAGCGGGAATTCATAGCCCACTGTTTTGAGCAGTTATAATACTGACTTTGTCATTGCTTTTGTGGGAAAAGCCCAGTGAAACTGGTTATCTCTCAACCCTAATACATCTGATAGGAGGGGTGCAGCAGAGGAAGGAAAATATAAATTCATGTGCAAATACCCTTTCCTGTGTAAGTACGAGCGGGTCCTCACCTGGCATTAATATGATAAAAAGCTGGGCTTCTGCACCTCTCATCTTTAGAAGTTGAATACTGTTTGTTCACAATTTTCAAGTATTAATGCTCTTTGGAACCACTGTTCTTGCAGAAGTAGACGGCTGTCTTCAGGGAGTCTTTGGCAATAGAACATGGCCAAGCCCCTTGCTTGCACCAGCTGCAGTGCCTATTAATGTTTCTTCTACCCTTGGCTAAGAATCTAAAGAAAGAGGATGACAACCTGGAAATCTTTGGAAATAAATCTTTTAAGAGCTTAAGATCTTCCAGTTTAAATCTCTACTTTGAATTGCATCTTATGAAGGGACTAAGTTAAGTGTATTGCCTGAAGTGTGTTGTCTGCTTACAGCATTCTTCCTGCAAATTTTCCAAAACTGGATAAATCCTTTAAAGATGCAGTCCTATGGATGTTTAGCTGAGGAAAAAACTCTTGGTATATAGCAGTGAGTATGTCTGGGAGTTGTAATCCTTTTAAAGTCTAAACTGGAATAGGTTTTGTGTCCCAAAAACCTTTTTGCTGGCCTTTCAAAAGTAACCACTTTTTTCAGGTTCTTATATGAATTATAGATTGGCTTTCTACTTTGTAGTTATTTTCAATTTATTTTGATTGTATTGTTTTATTGTTGTATATTTGTGAACTACTTTTGGAATTAACATGAAAGGTGGTATGTGGATGTTTTAAAATAATTATCTGCAAAGGTAGCCCCCTGTAAATGGAGATTTGAATATAGGCACAATACCAAAAAATCGATGCTTGTTGGAACGGAAACATCCTTCCTTGCTCTGTGTTATGCCTAGTATTACTTCCCCAACAACTTTTCTGTAAATAACTGTGCTGTGTTAGTTTGTTGCAAAAAGAACAACAAACAGTCTGGTGGCAACTTAAAGATGTAATAATTTTTTTCTGGCATCATAAGATACATAATGTGTTGCTGAGAATTTCAAAGAGTTCCTTCAGATCTCACTATTTACAATCCTTCATGCTCATATGTGAAACTGTATATAACTTTTATACATCTGATGAAATGAACTATAGTCCACAAAAGTTTATACCATAATAAATTTGTTAGTATTTAACAAGGTGGATGAAAATTATGTCAAAAATACAGTTTTTAATTTAAGTTGGATTTTTTTGATTTTTGAGGAAATCCAAAGCTTATTCATCATGAAATAAGGATTCGTTTTTAATTATGTAGCATGAGGCTTTATATTCATGCAGTGTTTAAATTTTGTTAAATGAATTTTATCAGTCCATTCACACTGTTATGCTCCATAGGTTTCTGTAAGATTCTTGGACAATTTTTGTCTCTAGAAGATATTATCACAGATGCTTGGTGTTACAGTTCTCAAAACTGTGAATTTGTGTGTGTAGAAATCACATGCCTCTTCTTCACAGCAAAAATGTTATAAAATAAACATATAGGGTTGAGAAAAAGACTCTAATCCCACTGTACCTTTGCAAATCTATGTACACAGATCAACCCCTTACCTCCTAAGTGCTAAGTTTCAAAACATTCAGTGAAGACTTTTGGAATAGATCTGCACAAGAAGCTACCTGTGAGGAGGGAGGGGAAAGCAGTAAAAATGAAAGTTGAACCTTTGAGCAGAATGCTACACAAATCTTTGGATCTTTTTTGTAACGCCTGAGGTTTATCATATTATTAGTTCCTTGAAGAAGAAAACCTATAATGGCAGCTGTCTATAAAAGAGACCCAGTTTGGGGAAATTTTAATGATGTTCCTGTAGCTGCAGGTAAGGCAGGCATGTGTGCAAATTAGGGAGAAAGCCACGATTTGAATCTAGTCCCATGGACTAGTGATTTAAATCAAATCCACCCTGATATTTAAGGGGCCACAAGACCTTGTATCTTTAAAATAAGATCTGAGTTAGGTTATTTGAGAGGTGTGACCTAAGGAATTATTTTGGAGACTGAAGAGAAGATTCAAATGTGTGAAGAAAACATCACCTGCTTCAGAGTTGCGGTTTTAAAGAGTAGCTAAAAATGTTGATCGCTGGGCATGAGCCATTACCTGGAGTGACACCAATGTGTGTGCTTGTATTTGTACAGGTATTGATTGTATCCCTGTCTCTTGTTGCCACCGTTGTGCAATTGCTGTGAGCAGTAATCCAGCCACCAGCGTTCTTCAAGATTTGGTGCCAGTGGAGTGAACTATGGGGAACCAGCTGGCACTGATGCCTCCTTTCCTGCCCCACTTGCAAGTCCTGCATGTGGTGGTGGTTGGACTGGATGCAGCTGGCAAGACGTCTCTGCTGTACCGCCTGAAGTTCCAGGAATTTATCAAGAGTGCGCCTACTAAGGGCTTCAATATGGAGAAGATCCGCGTGCCACTGGGGGGCTCCCGCGCCATCACTTTCCAGGTGTGGGATGTGGGTGGCCAGGAGAAGCTGCGCCCACTCTGGAAGTCCTACATGCGCCATACAGATGGGGTAGTTTTTGTGGTTGACTCGGCAGAGGCCGAGCGTCTGGAGGAGGCCCGTGTGGAGTTGCACAGGATTGCCCGTTCCTCAGACAACCAGGGGGTCCCTGTTTTGGTGCTGGCCAACAAACAAGATGTATCCCAGGCGCTCTCAGTAGCTGAGCTGGAGAAACTTCTCAGCTTGCATGAACTATGCACCTCGGACCTGAGCTACATCCAGGGCTGCAGTGCGGTCAGTGGACTGGGCCTCCAGCAAGGCCTGGAGAAGCTCTACGAAATGATTCTGAAACGGAAGAAGCTCCTTCGCAGCAGCAGGAGGAAGCGCTGAAGAAGAGCAAGGGAAATCAACAATGCTGACTTTTGTAGCTGGATGAAAGTTTACTTTAGGAGCAATATATGAACAAATACTGGGCAGACTTCACTTTTCTATGGGGTATATTCTGATCTGTGGACGGTTGCGCAGCAGGGACAGTGTGGTGAGGGCCTCCCCGGACTCTGAAGTGGGTGGGATTCTGGAGGAGGTGCTCAACAGGGGGAAGAAGGGCAGTTTTCCAAGAGCTGGTGGTGAAGATGATGGACTCTTCCAGCAGCACTCTCACGTCAACCATAACCTGTTTATATCTTTTTTTAAAGTGTCAAGGGCCTTTTATGGTTTCTCTTAAATTATTAAACACGTGGGCTGCAAAGCTGGACAAAGCATTTTGGTTCCTGTCTGTACAGAGCACGGATGGTGGGGCTGGAGTGGGAGGAAGGATTCCAACTTGCTTGCGAATGAGGCAGAAGATAAACTATGGGAAGAGGTTTGAAAGGGCTGAATTCCTTGCCCCATGGGTTGTAAAGGTAGCCCTTTCAGGAAGGGGAGGCCATGCTTGGGAAAGGCTGCCTGCAGGAACACAGCTCGATTCTTTCATATATTCCATTGAGTATCATCTTTTCCTTCCTTGATGAGCATCCATAGCAAGCCCCAGATCTTCTAAGATAGGGAAACCCAGCTTGTGTCTTCATTTAGAAACAAAGCTCATTTTTCTCTCGGCTGCGGGAGGATGGGTCTGCTTCAAACCTGGGCGTGAAGGGAAGGGCGCGTGCGACAGGAGGGGCTTTGCATTGCTGTGCAACTCCATCTGCTGGCTGTGGGCCCTCCCCACCCCCACTCGACAATCCTTGCCTCATGTTTTGTGCAGATTTTGAGCCCATGCAAAGCCTGCAAACCAATTATCGGTGCTAGCTACTGTTTTCCCCCCACAAAGGTGCCTTTGAAGATGGTTTATTTGATTTTTTAAAAATATTACGTCTATGTAGATAATGCAATGTGTTCAGTACAATACCATGGTAAGTGGTTATAAAAATCAAGAAACCATTTCCTAATGAGCCCCTCTGAATCTTTTTAGTTTCTGCAGCAGTACTTACCTCTGGAAATGAGCAGGATATTTTTCTGCCACCTGGTCATCTGAACCAGACACCATATGTCAGGGAAGTGAGGGGCAGAGAGCATGGCGTTTAGGCAGACTGGTGCTCCCAACAGACCTATTGTCTAGTGACTCTAACCCCCACCAACCAAATCAAACTGGTACATATTTTGGCAACAACTGCTGTGATAAAGACTTGACACTGGTTCTAGCACAGTCTGGAAATTAAAAGGAGTGAAACTGTTTTTGGTTTTACAAATGCACTTAGCAAAAACACCATTTTACCAGATGGGATCGTACCCATAAGAATTCTGTCCTCCTCCTCCCCCCGCCCATGCACACACACATTCAGACGCACAAAGGGGAGCAGAAAGTGGAAGGATGCATTCAGTTCTGATTTGACATGAGCGTTCAGCTACAGTACCATATGTATTTGCAGAGTTTTATAGACCCACTTTCTGAATGGAACTGGACATTATCAGCTAATGTTCACTTATTGAACTAACGAATACAGGGGAGGGAGCAATTCTAGAGGAGAATTTTTAGGGGAAGGGAACCCCCTCACCCCAGTGTCCTCCAGTCTGTACATTTTTCTTCCATTCTAGTCCATTTTTTCCTTCTAAGATTATTTTAGGGTTTGGAGTGTGGAAGAAAAATTGCTTGCAAGCATTTCTGCGTGCATTGATGGGGGAGCGTGGACTGTGCTGTTATTCCAATAATCCAGTACAGGTTCCTGCCCCATATTGTCCCCTCTCCAGCATCACTGCCCCATGCAGTGCACAGAAACACACATACATACACACAATCTGCTTAGGAGTAAAAAAATAAAACATTCAAGAGAATTCAAATCTGTGATGTGTATTTTGGACCTTAATCCAAAGTGTGAGAGTGAAAATCAGGCAGCTATGGTTACTCAGTCCTGAAAAGAATGCTCTTCTCTGTTTTTGTGTGTGCCTTTTCTCATTGGAAAACAGAATTTTATTGTGCCTGTGGCTCAAATCAAGCCCTCAGTGAGTCAAATTTCTTGGCCCACTAAATGGGGATCATAGTCTAGCATGATTCTTGTGTCTATATTGATATTTTCAGAGGGGATCCCAGCATAATGAGCTAGGAACTGGTTTTTGGTTTGCAATTTATGTATAGGTCAAAACAGTTACGGTACCTGAGTAACTTATTGGAAGTGTGCTGAAGGTCAGGTTTTGCCTAGAAGTCCTTTCCTTTCAGCCTGGAGTACTCTCCAGCCACACCATCTCAGTGCATGTGTTGCGAGGGGTGAAGTTACGGGGTTCATGCACCCCATTGTTTCACATGTTCACATGGGTGCTGAGCCCCAATGCAGCCTGCCTCGAAGGAGGTGCTTGGTCCTCCACACTGGATAATGCTCAGATACAAGCCTCTGAGACAAAAGTTTCATTTTGAAAATGATTTAGGTTTTCCTGGCCAACAGTGGCCTTGAATTGCTTTAGTAGTCAATCATGCTTAAGCTCGATTCTGGAGGAGAAGCAGTAGCTCTCCCGGCTGGGAGCTGAAGCACTGATGCACTCTTTATGTAAGAGAATTGAGGTCAACAGGTTTAATTCTCCCTTGGAACTGTTACATAAAGGACTTTCCAAATCTGCTGTCCTCTCATGCTCCTGCACCAATCCTAGGATTAGTCATATTGACTCACTATTATCATTTTCAAATGCACAGGTCCTTGTAAACCATCAATTCAATTTGGAGGAATTCCCTTTATGTGCCCTGTCTTTCTAAATGGGCTGGGGAGCTGATTCTGGCTATTTAGGAATGCAGGCAGCACATTACTCGTTATGCGCTAGATAATCTCATCAGGCCCAAATCTTAACTCCTGGTGTTAGAAGTGATATAACTCAGAAGTGGCTGACAATCCCGATTTGTGGCTGCTGAGCATGTTCTCTCCTTGCTGCTGAGGTGGCAGGAGAGAGATGGTTATGGCTACTCAACTGTATGTAACAGGGCATTCTGCATATGCTCCACTGCTTTGTATGTTCCAGCACTGAGTTCCAGCATGAAAAACAGGTTTGGGGAGTGAACATCTTCAGCTTGCTAAGCAGAAATGCTAACGCCCACTGTGTGGAAATAGGACTGTTGCGAAGGTTGTCTATCACCCTTACCTCCACTCACATTTTTTTCCTTCTTTGATGCTTTTAAAATTTCTGACTATAGTGACTAAGAAGGTACAACCCATTATGCTATTGGCAAAGGCTGCATTTAACTTACAAGTTAAACCGCTCCTAGTAGAAACTTGGCTAGAAGGTTAATTCTCTCCAACTGTAGCTGATACAAAGAAATATTTCAAGTGTACCATTTAAGACTGCAGGGAAAGGCACAAATAATTGACTTTCCATAAAGAAAATTAAAATTCTGCAGTGCCAAACTCAAGAACATTTCATGAGTGACACACAAATTAGCACACCAAAGAAAAATACACTGAGGAAAATACCATTCCACTCATGTTGTTAGTCTTCCAGATGGAGGTGTAAGCTTTCAGTCCAAGAGCCCACCATCTCTGTCGTTTGAAATGACAGTGTAGACACAAGTGTACGGTCTTAATCTGCTATTGGTGAGAACTAGGTGTAACTTGTAACAATCAAGGTAAAGTCCTTAGATGCAGGAAACTGCATTCTATTTAGAAGTCTGACATATGCATATTATGAGCTATGCTCCTCTTTAAGAATCACTCATACAAATACATACTGTCCTAAAGCAAAGGAGAAAACACTGTAGCCATAACCCATGTTTGTAACAGGCTCAAAGCATGTGACACTTGTTTAATAACAATACATTAAAATTCGCTAGTCTGATACAAACCATCCCAATGATACAAATGAGGTTTGTTGACCAGGAGGAAGTCAATCTCTTTGGCACATGAATCTCTCCCAGGTGAAGTTGTCGGCCCTGTTGGGTTGTGGTTGTTTGGAACTCTTCAACTACACCTGAAAAAAGTGAGAAAGAATTTCTGTCTGCTCAAATAACAATTGCCTTCTCTTTCATCTTGTCTCAATAAAGTATGAAGTTCATTGCTGAAACACGGTAATTATTTCGAGCTGACTGACTGGTGAGCCAAGCCAAATGAAATATGGACTGAGGACCTACAGGCATTAGCAGCTCAGGGTTCAAATGGTTGCTGTTTTCTGCAGCAAGCCTTGATTTATTTGGGTTCCTTCTCTGGGCTGCTGATGTGTAGAACTTGTGGCTCATGACCTTGAATGTCCCAGCTAACTCCAGGTAAACAGGTATCTGACTGTTGTGTATATAAACCTCCACACATACACATCTGTGGGCACATATGCATAAGATAGACAGATACCTCCTTTTCCCAAAACAGGCTGTGCTTTTGTGTGCACAACTGCTTGGACATGTAAAGTGAATGGATTTTTTTTTTTTTTTGAAGTATTCAGAAGATGGTGGAGGAGCAGGCAGATGGGTAATGGGAGAGAGATTAGGTTTAATGCACTGTGCCCAAACATATCATGGGCCACACTGCAGAAGGAACAACAGCATCACACCACCATAGACCTCAAACAAATGCACTATATGAATGACAAGCTCCGAAAAGCAGCGAGTGACACATGTGCCTCAGTGCCTGAAGAAAGTTGAGTGTGCCGACCAAATTGGTTTGGCCAATTTTCAGGAAGAAATTAAGAGTTGGATGGTGCTGCTAGTATTGGAAAGCTGGCATGGAAGACAGATTGATTAATGCAGAAGCCTTTGATCTGTAGAAGGGGGAGTTCTGGCTTGGAGTTTCCAGGCAGGGGCTGTATTGACCTGTTCCAAGCTCCAGAATTTAGCTACTGGCCACAGCCTGCATAAAGCAGAAAAGAGAGTGCCTTTGAGCACCTCACTAGATATTAATTGAAGTTGGCCCTGTACACAGACACAGCCTTGGGTTAATAAGAGGCACAGGGCTTCCTGTTGAGAGGCTGGTGATTTCCGGGCAAACTTCAGTGCTTCTTATATCAGGCTCACATCTATTTTCAGTGTGCCTCCGTGGCTGACTGGAATGACTACCCTATTATGAACCCAAAGCTTCCCGTGGAGATGTGATTTACATGTTGTGGTTACAATGCTCACCTTTCCTAGCAGGGTGCAAAGCTCCAGTCAGCTAAGCATGGATGTAAACGCACACAAAGCGCTGAGCAGATGAGGAGCTGAGAGAAGAAGAATCCAGAAGGGCCCTTGGGCAATTGCACCGGCTTCTTTCCAGAAGTCCTATCCTGTGCTGATTCATCAGCTGCATCTAGTTCTGTCTCAAGCATTAGACACAGTTGAGCT